GTCAGAATAAACAGGAAGGGTTGATGAAGGGTTATGTAAATATAAATCCTCTCAATCGGTTATGTAAGATGGCAAAAAGTCTTGTTCAGTAAAAGTATTACTGTTTAAGGGGTATAGACCTGATACTTGAAAACCCTTAGTTATATTGTTTGGACTAAACGACTCAATTAAAAATTTTAAATACTTAAAAATGTCTAATTACTGCATGAAAACCAACTCTATATAAAAACGAAACAAGCAATTAAACTGTTAAATAGGAGATCTAGCTATAAATTCCCCACAAACATCTAGAAGAACCATCTAATCTATCTAATTAGCCTTCTTCGGTCCATCTTTGGACATAGGCCTCCCCAATCCTTTTCCATTCTTCTCTGTCTGTCGCTACAGTCATCCATCTAGAGCCCACGTGCTTCTTGATATCATCTGTCCATCTCATTTGGGGCCTTCCTCTGCTTCGCTTATATTCCCACGGTCTCCAACTTATAATCTCCATTTCAATTTTGCAACTTCTTGTCTAACATCTATCACTTTTGTTTTCTCTCTTATCCATTAGTTTCTTATCCGTTTCTCTTCTTATCCATTAGTCTTATGTGCAACATTTGTCTTTCCATTGCTCTTTGAGTTTTTATGATTTTGTCCATGTTTGCTTTTGTAGATGTCCACGTTTAATTAAAAATAATCATAACTACTGTAAAGTACCACAAATGGAGAGAGTGACTCATGTTTTAATGATTTTTTATAGGCCAGTAAAATTGGACGTTTATTCTTTAGAAAAAAATATTTTTGTTCAGACAAAAGAAGAAAATTTATTATTATTTAATAAACAAATTAGTAGATTATTGGAGAATTTGTTCTTGTTGTTCTTTTACTAAATAATATACTTTTGCATAAAAAGATCACATTTTATATAAAATACATTTTAATATTTTGACTGGTCTATTTTTAAACTTTTCAAATGTATTGGCAAAGATTGGGTTCTAGAAAATATAACGTTCTTAGTGTGTATGATTCAACTTGAAATTATGTGCAATGGTGTAGTTTATACAGTGTGGAAACCACTTATTGAATAAAATTGTTTGTTTCCTTATTTTAGAAAATAAAAAGAAACGTTGCGATACCTTAACTTTTAAATTTAAATGTGCGCTTTTTAAACATAAATTTGAATGTACAGATGATCAATTCAAGTCTGGCATAGTGCATTATCTGTATTATGAAACACCCTGTATATTTATATGTTTTTAAAAGCTCCTTAACAACCCGATTTCAACGAACTTCATGTAGGGTCTATTATGAATAATACGAGGTGAAATTTTGAAAGTAGGTATTTTCTTCAAGACAATGAATTCATAGAATACCTGAGGTAATTGATTGGATTACATTAAAATAAATGCTCAACATGTTCTCCACATTGTTGTTGGCAATAACACAGTCTCCTATAAAACTCGTTCCGAACTTTGTTTAAAGTTTGAGGTGAAATGTTCTATATTTCTGTAGTTGTCCTTACTTTTTAAGGTCTTCAATGATAGTTGATTGTATTGCATATACATTGTTCTTGAGATAACCCCATAAAAAAATTCAAAGGCGTAAGATCTGACAACCTAGCTGGCCGCTCACTAGTCCTCTTTATCAAATCCACTTATTGAAGAATATTTCATTAAAGTAATTTCTCACCATTAAAGCATAATGGGGTGTTGGACCGTCATGCTGGAACCAGACAGTTTCATGCGGTAAGGTCGGATCTATTGGATTGGGATATAAGTTAGCCAACTAAGGAAGAACATCGTCTCTTAGCATGCTTTTTCGCTGTCAAATTATCATCTATAAATATAGGACCAATAATTTTATCTCCTATAATACCTGCCCAAACATTCAAATTTTGAGGATACTGAGTGTGTGTCTCAGGCATCCAATGAGGATTCTCCGCTCACCAATATCTACAGTTTTGTCAGTTTACCTCTTCGTTCAATCTAAATTTTGATTCATCAGAAAAAAGAATTGTGCCAAGAACTATTTCATGTGTTAATTTTATCCATCATTCTTCTGCAGAAATCCATTCTACGATCCGGATCGTCTTCTGTTAGCTTCTGCACAAATGTCAATTTATATGGATGAAGTTTTCTTCATGGAAACACCATAGGACAGTTGTGTGACTCACATTATTTTGACGTGCAATTTGACGTGAACTTGACGTTGGATTCTCTGCGACACTTAACAAAATATCGAGTTTTACTTCATCTTCAATGAAGATCGATTTCCTTTCAATGGTTTGGCATATCAAAGTTCTCTGAATTGTGCATAAATTTTAGACACAGTACCTTGTGAAATATTCGGCAACTGAGGATACCTCTGATTAAATAAGTTTACTACTTCAACTTAACTTCTACAATTCTCCCCGTAACCTATCATCATTAACATCTGAATTCGGTGGGCCTTAGTTAAATATTTCATTTTCATTTCTGCAAGAAACTAGTTTTTAATTATTAAGAATTTATTATTTTAATGTAAAATGTCAACAGCATGTCAACTTCTTCTTCTTCTTCAAGTGCCGTCTTCGTTCCGAAGTTTGGCTATCATCAAAGCTATGCGTATTTTTGATGCTGCAGATCTAAACAGTTGGTAATTGGTGCAATTGTACCATTCTCTCAAGTTTTTCAACCATGAATGCCTTCTTCTTCCTATAGATCTCTTTCCCATTATCTTTCCCTGTATAATCAATTGCAGCAACTGGTATTTATCTCCCCTCATAACATGTCCCAAATATTGTAGTTTGCGCTTTTTAACAGTAAGTATCAGCTCTTTCTCTTTCCGCACTCTTCGCAAAACCTCCACATTTGTTACTTTCTCTGTCCAGGGTATTCTTAATATTCTACGATACATCCACAACTCAAATGCTTCTATCTTTTTGGTATCGATCTTTTTCAATGTCCATGTTTCCATCCCGTAGAGGAGAACTGACATAACGTAACATCTCAAAAGGCGAATTTTAAGTTTTAGACTTAGATCTCTTCCGCAGAACACCTTTTTCAATTTAGTAAATGTGGCTTTCTCTATTCTGGTTCTGATTTCTTCAGAGCCATCAATATTTTCGTTGATAACAGTTCCCAGGTAATTATATCTTCTTACACGTTCGATTCTTTCATCATGCACGGTTATGTCAGGGAAGTTTTGTGGTGATTTAGATATTAGCATTATTTTTGTTTTGCTTATGTTAAGTGATAATCCGTGTTCTTCACTGCATTCTACTATTTTGTTAATTAGTATTTGAAGATCTTCCCAAGTTTCTGCGATTAGTACCGTGTCATCGGCATATCTCAAGTTGTTTATTCGGATGCCATTTATCTTAATACCTATATTTTGATCCGAAAGTGCTGTGTTTATAATGTCTTCGGAGTATAGATTAAATAAGGTCGGTGAGAGTATACATCCCTGTCTGATTGATAACAATCCGCATTATTTACCGATTTAGTTTAATTAGCGACAAAAAATGTTAACACGGTTACTAAACAGATTTTTCCTCAATATACAGTGTACTGACACTTAGAGTAGAAGTCTATTGTCTGTGTTTAGCTAATTTAAAATAATATCATAACACGTGATAAATTATTAATTTCAAAATTTCACCTTGTATTATTCATTATAGACCCTACATGATATAGTTCATTGAAATCAGGTTGTTAAAAGTATTTTAAAAACATAAAAATATACAGGGTGTTTCATTAAAAATAAGGATTATGGACTATGCCAGACTTGCGTGGATCACCCTGTACATTTAAACTTTTCTTTAAAAAGCGCATATTTTAATTTAAAAGTTAACGTGTCCCAAATTTTTTGATTATTTTCTATAATAAGGACACAAACAATTTTATTCCATAAGTGGTTTCCACACTGTATCTTTCTCTAATGGTAAATAATATTTCAGATCAAAAATTTCGCCGCAGATTAAGGCGATGTAACTGAAAACAACGCCATTGTTGGGGTAGGTTTTTTATTGTATGCTGTCTGTATGTCAGTTTTATAAGTGCATTGGCAGGGGTTTTATAAAACCGAGAGTGGGATTGTTTGTAGTGTTATTAGTGGAAGGGCTCTTTTTGAGAATTGTAAATATTTATGTATAATTGTAAATAATAAATATGACTATAGTAATAGTAAAGCGTGTATCAAAAAGAACTGTCACAATTTAGCATGCGAAGAAAAAACTATGATCGGAAATATGTTTAAAGGACTTCGACCCAGAGAACAAAATATGAATTTATTGAAGAAGGTTTAAATAAATCTGTTTCTAAAAAAATGGAGATCTGTTCAATAGTACCGCTAGCAATATGACCTTACAGTCATGGATAAAATGTATCAAAAATGTAGCAAAAAAGAGCAGAATTACCATTTTATAGATATTTAAATAAGAAACGCATCTACTTTTTTTAACGATTCCCAAGATTATTATCTATCTGTTGTTTTAATTACGCTGGGCATTTGGAGGATAAAATTTTGCCCACACCAAGATCTTTTCAGAGTTTTAAAGATAAATCACCAATTGATAATACTCGTTGGATGAGAAGTACATTCCCTTTTAAAATGCTAATAACCGATGGCACAATATTTCACAAAGCATGTAATTCATAAGTTCAGTTTTATTTACATAGTTTTTGGCTCTTGTAATGTGATATTAACGATCTTTTTTGCCTCTTGGACTTTCTCATTACTATCAATGATTTTGTCACTTGACCATCGACTGGTATATTCTGTAAATAATTAAGTATCTTTTAATGTTATTTTAATATATGTACATACATAATTTTTATCTTCAGTGGAAATAAATCCTATTAAAAATATTTAATTTTCAAGTAAAGTGATAAAGTTGATAATTATAAAATTCATTTGCATTCTTATACTGAAAAGACCTGGTAGATAATACAATTATTCAAAAATTATGAAGTCTTAATGTCGATTTAGTATTAGTTTTGTATACAATTCAGTTTAATTCAGACAACCCAGGTGAAACCATGAAGCTATTGTTGAGAACATGTATTTTTGTGCAAAGTTTATTTGTTTTAACGGGAAGTTACAGAATTTTAGGTGTATGTCCTATGACATCACATAGTCATTTTACTTTGGAATTTAGGTTATTGAAAGCACTCGCGGATCGTGGTCATGAAGTGGTCAGTATTAATAGTCATCCACAGAAAGAGAAAATTAAAAATTTTAGGGATGTGTCTGTTAAAGAAATTGAAAAATCTGTAAGTGGTAAGTAAGATTTTTTTATTAATTACAGGTTGCTATGCGAAAAAAGTAAATGCGTTTTATTTGTAATTCTTATGAAATTTTTTTTCTCAAATTATTAGAAATTAGAGAGCTGTATGAAATAAGTTATGATGAAGGCAATGAGGACGTTTCTATATAATTAGGTAAAAAAGTGGACCGAAATATATTTCTGAGAGTTCTTCTTAAGTTAATACTAATTAATTAATTTCTGTTTTTTTCTCCTTATTATCTTCCACACCTTTTTCTGGGATCCATAGAGGTCGTATTCCATATCTTTAGTAAATTTCTCCCAGTGTTCTTTTTTTAATGTTATCTATTTCTTGGTTTACTCTATTCCTGATTCTCACGTAATCTTCTCGTGCCTCCGGAGTCTTCACTTCTTTATATGTTAGGAAAGCTTGTTTTTCATTTGATAGTACTTTCAGCCTTTCGTCGTACCATAGAGTTGTGTATTCCCTTTTATTTCTGTTAACTTTTCTTTTACCTAAAGTTTGTTCCGCTGCTTGTAGGATACATTTTTTAATAATTTTCCAGGTTTCTTCTATATTCTTTTTAGTCTCTAGGTTATGGCAATTTAGCTTTTCTATTAGTCTGTTTCTATACAAGTTTTGTGTTCCTTCTTCTTCTAAGCTTTCTATACTTAACTTTTCTTCTACTTTTGTATTTAGCTTGCCTTGTGTGGTGATTGCTATATTTATTTTTCCTAGTACCAGGCCATGGTGAGATCCAACATCCTAATATTAAGTATCGTCTGGTAAAGTTTAAGGCAAACCATTATTATGTGTTCGTTGAATATTATTACTATATTTAGTGTGCATTAAGAGGCGTACTCCTGCATGAGCTCGTGCTTTTATCTACTGCTGTACAGAAATATAAATTTGTTTTCTATTGGCACTTAGCGTTCCTTTTTTTTTGTTTTGTTCAGGGCACATATAACAATTTTATGGAGCTCCAATTCCTGCATAACTTCCTGTTCCCGTTTGTTTTACGATGCAATGTTTTGTCCTTTTTCTTATGTGATTCGTCATCTGTATACCCGTCCAATTCCCAGGCTTCTGTTCGGTTCTACGAGCATTTAATTTTTTTGACAGTAGGTAGGCTGCTTACCTTGCTCACCAACCCCCTTTTCGGAAGACCATTTCTCCCTTCCTTGTCAGCCCTGCCAATCTCCAGCAAAGTTGCTCAGGTTTTCCATGGTTCACCCATGGTTCGTGGAGGTGAAAATAGGGATTGCGTAGGAGAGGATAGAGAATGCTAACTGAAAACAGCATCTTATATTGCGCTTCACTACCCTTTGAATCCCGAATAAAAACTGAATGGAGCAAAAATGACCAAAGAAGAGAAAATGTTAAAAACCAGAACTGGGATGTAAAAAGTAATCAAGCGAAATATGGAAAAAAATTTAACATCCCAAATTACATGAATAGAAAATATTTGTAACATAATGTATTTAATTTAAAAAAAACTGGCAAACTTTGGTTACATTATTAATACATTGGAAATTTAAATGCCATATTTCAAAACTTTTTAACTTTTCATGTAAATATTTTTATATTTTTTAAACTTGTTTTAGAGTTCATTGCCGAAATATTTGATTTCCCCAAAATGCCTTATATCTGGCAGCTCTTGCGAATGGTAGACTACCGTAGAGTCGTGACCACAGCTACATTTAAAAACAAACATGTTCAAGATCTAATGAAGTCAAATGAAACATTTGATTTGGTGATAATGCATCATTTCGTCAATGATGCTATGGTTATTTTCGCACACAAATTTAAATGCCCACTAATAATTTTAGCTCCTGGACCAGTCACTCCTTTTAACAATTTTATGTTCGCCAATCCCACACCATCGTCATACGTGGCGAATGTGTTAACATCTTATGGCTCAGAAATGAATTTCTGGGAAAGACTGGATAATACATTCAAAAATATACTTGCTGAACTGGTCGTGCATTACAGGTGAGATCTTTATTTTTAACCCTCTACTGAATGAATTATTGCAAACATAAAATAAAAAATATTTTTATGTATTGTGATTTTTATTAAGGCATATAAAAGGCAATATTATATTAGTATATTTAACTATCGACTGAGTTTAGCTGAGTCTAATATGTCTGCTGTAATTTTTGCCCAGCTTTCCTGGACTGCATCGCTTTTTTATAATATATGTCTTTTTTCATTTTTTTGTTATTATTTTCTGATATAAATACCGTGTTGTGTCGTCCTGCAGATTTTTAACTTTTGCCTTTGGGGGTATTCTGCAATTTCTACACTTATGTTCTTAAGACCGTTTTAAAGAAACGTTCACGCTGGGAGCAGCTAATGTGAAGAGTGTCCTCAAGGTAAGCGTTTGTCAATCTTAATCGATATTATTTTTTCTTAAAAATATTCATATTTAAAAACGAATTTACTATTTGTATTTTGAGAACGATTTCCGAATTGGAAATTGAAACGTCAATAAACGTATTTTTATCTTTAATTGTGGCTTATTCCCAGTTATAAATAGTAATTAAAAACGAAGTTTCGCAAAGAAATGTAGTGCCTAACATAGTGCCAAGTTGAATGTCTAATTTCTTGCAGTTTTCATATTTCTCTAGAACAAATTTACTCCAAAACTTCGTGGGGATAGAGTGTTATGAATTTGCAACAAAATGTCTTTCTGTAAGTCTATAATCTCCATTTGGTGCAAAGGCCCTGAAATGGGAAACGAATTAGCAACATCATCATTTTCCTGCTGGAGGAAATGCAAAAGGCGCTCTTAAGAATGATGACAACTTTTTTGACCTCTGCAAAGTCTTTAAATCTTCTTGCTAATTTTATTTTAAAACCTTCAATTTTTTTAAAAATACTAAAACATCCATTCCTGATTTAGAATTACTCTTGTATTCAAGAGTTGTTGTAAAGTGAGTTAGTTCTTAATTTATATGTCTTTTTAAAAAATGTCGAGTTGCGACGGAAAGAGGACACACTTTGTATCAGATAACATATTAATTTCTTATTTCCTTGTAGCTCGATATTGAGCATATTTAAGTGTTGCAAAATGCCTTTCAGGAAAGCCACAGCCAACATACTTCTTTAGTTTACCAGGAACTCCAAATGCTCTATTGTTTCTTGGATATTCGAGCTTCTTCTTGTTTTGTTTCCCAAAAATGTTCAAGCACTTAAGCTTTACTTAGCCAACAAACATTGTTTTGTTAAAATAAATAAAAATGTGTTAAATTACACTTATAAAGAAAAACATTGAACTGCCTGTACTGAAGATGAAGAACAGAACGACCTTTCATCACATTAATCCACTTAATCAAGTTGTTCATTTTTTTTTTCAGAGTGTCACTAAGTTTCTTATATAGGGCTGCCTGGTGAATTATGTAAGATTAAGATAGTAGCCCAACATTATTTTCTTTGATTCGGTTTGCACGCCCCCTTTCTTTGCCGACCATACCTAGGAGAGACACTATTTTATCCTAACTAATTGGATTGAATCCTTGAAACATTAAAATATAGATGTTGGTAGCCAATATAAATTTGAACCTAAAATCAAAAATTTATTCGTATGCCTTTTATTAACCAAATAAAATTCAACTAAAATATAAGTTTAATTGTTTATTTTTACAATTTTTTAGTCATTTATAGATTATTATTTACATATAGAAAGTTTTTAATCAAAATTAATGACAATTAATATCAACAAAAATTACAATTTACTCAAATTACATAAATCTTTAATATAACATAATAAAACACAATCAAATAAACAATCTATTGCACAATTTAAATAAATTTCAAATTGGATAATAAATCCTTACGCACTAATCAATTGGAATTGCTGCATATGCTTATGGTCTATTGGACTATATTATGAAATAATATGGTCTTTCAGATAGAGATAGGCTTTTGTCATTTTACGGAACTTGGGGATATATATTACAGATTTAAGTTGTAAAGGAGATGGCTGTATATTTTTTTGTCAAATATAATATAGATTTCTTTGCTAACTCAGTAAACGGGATAGGTAAATAAACGTCAAAGCTTGTATTTCCGATGTAGTATACATGATTAGTCAATAGTCACAGGATTAAAATAAGGAGACGGGTTGGTATCGACACTATTAAACCTGACTCTTGAATATTTAATAAGATAGATTAATATAAAAAGAGGTAATCTCCTAACAAACAAATCAATGCAGATTGCCGTCTATGTCGATGACATTAGCATTATGTTTCACAGAAGAGAAGAGGTGACAGAAGTATATTCACAAAGAACAGGGGCAGAAGAGACTGGACTAGAAATACATATTGAAAAGACAAAAAAAAATAACAGAGGCAAGAGCTAGGAAAAACAGACGCACAGTTGAAGTATAGGACGATATTAAAACTGTAAAAAGTTTCACATATCTAGGTATTACAATAAACACGTATAGAACAGAAAAACCAGAAACAAAGAAGAATAGTAAAGGAGAACAGAGCTAACTTTTCACTCGAAAGACGTCACTCCAAAACGGAAGACGATAGCAAAGATGGGACTCGAATAAAGAAAAATATGTTATTTTGGAAGATTCTAAATTTATTTCCTCAGAAACAGATCTTATTACATAGCAAGCTGAGGCTAGTTTCTTACTTAACCAATCAATATGAAAGAGTCATTCAAAGTTGCTGTCTATAAAAATACCAAGACATTTTATAAAGTCAATACTGATCTGGCCGATTAAGAAGCAATAATTGAAGGGCTTCTTTATAGAAGAATGTTACTGTCTTATCTACCTTAAAAGAGAGTAAATAAGAGTCAGATCATAATTTTATTTTAAGTAGATCAGAAGTTATAGTGGCATGAGCAGTAGCAATATTAGAGTTTCTTTGGGTGATACTGGTATTATCAGCAAAAAAAAAATTTTTTCCAATGATTTTTATATTACTGATGTCATTTACAAAGATCCAATATGGAACCTTGTGATACTCCACATAAAAAGTGTTTGTGACTAGAGTTTGTTAACTAGTGTCATTTGATCTACCCCGTTGTTTCCTATTCCCCAAGTAAGATTCAAAGCATTACCTCGAATTACATAGAAATTTAGTTTTTTTATCAAAATGTCGTGATTTACATAATCAAAAGCTTTGCCATAGTCACAAAACAGTAACAGTGTGAAGATTCTTGTTTAGTGCTTAATATACTTCATGCAGTACAGAAAACAGCATCACTGGTACATTTATTAGATAAAAATTAGAACTGACTTTGTGATTAAATATTGTTTTTAACGAGAAAGGACTTATTCGGGCTCTTATAATTCTTCCTTTGAATAGTATCGGTAGTAAGGCAATAAGTCTATAGTTGCAAGCATTTGATTATTATTCTTCTTTTTTTAATGAAAGCAGTATGCAACAGTAAGTTTATTTGGGCTATTAATAGTGACGGGTATGAACTATATCACAAAAATTAATTTTATGTTTATCACTAATTAATTACGTTTTGCATAATTTTTTTGAATTATTAATTTTTTTATTTATCATGCTTTTTATATCAAAATTGCATTGAATATTATAATTTTTACTGAAAAACATTCACTTTCACAAAAACAAACTTTTTTTAGTCAATGCGCATAAACAAACAGTGGAACTTTACACATCTGATCTGCTTACATTCTGAAATTATTTATTTGGTATCCTGTTTCTAATTAATTATATCATTAGTATACAATAAAGTAAAAACTTTTTATATTTACTGCTCTTGTCTTTAAATTGAAAGCAAATTTTAAAATTTACAGTCCAAAATCAAAAAAAGAATTGTATTCAATGTTTTTTTTTCTGCATCGAAACCATGATATTCTCAAATCAAACAAATTCTTTTTTTTTTCCTTTACGAAATTTTATCGCAGTTTATACTAAACAAAATCGGTTAAAGCTAAAAAATCTGTCTTCCTTTTCGTAAAATACTAAAGAGTTTATGAAAAAATATGTAATAACAAGGAATGATTTTGTTAATGATAATATGAATGATACCAATTCTAATACACATATTTCTTTTATTCTAGATACCTTCCGTCGCAGGATGCCATTTTAAAGGATGCCTTTTCTGATTCCCCACCATTATCTTCTATAATTTACAACGCCAGCTTAATGCTTGTTGTCACAAACCCCAGTTTAGACGACCCAGTTCCTCTACAACCGAACATTAAGGAAATTGGAGGTTATCATATTTTACCACCGAAACCGCTACCCAAAGATCTTCAAGAGTTTATGGACAATTCAACAGAAGGGGTAGTATTTTTTTCAATGGGATCTAATATTAAAAGTTCTGACTTCAGTGTAAAAGCACGTAACGCAGTTTTGAATGCATTTTCAAAAATACCACAAAAGGTTTTATGGAAATATGAAGAAGATTTAACAGAAAGACCTGCAAATGTAAAAATTATTAGCTGGCTTCCTCAGAATGACATATTAGGTTAGCATAATTTTTTTTATCATTATAATTACCTTTTCTCTTATTCCTATGATAGTTTGGCTTCCCAAATAAGATTCTTCCAAATGCTTATTTTATGTTATGGTATCCTCTTAGTTTGGATATGGCGTGTACATAAAAAAAAATTGTGTCCACTATTAAACTATTTAATATTTTTTAGCACACAACAATACGAAGGTTTTTATATCACACGGTGGATTACTAGGCACACTAGAAGCTATTCATTATGGTGTACCTATATTGGGAGTTCCAGTTTTCTGGGATCAGGAAAGAAACATAAATTCCGTCGTCAAAAAAGGGTTTGGCTTGAAGTTAATGTATAACAACCTCGAAGAAAAAGCGTTTGAGGAATCTCTGAAAGAAATACTCAATAATCCTAAGTAAGTAGCTTTTACTACAAAAGTAGTTAATGAAAAGCTTTCTTTTTTGGTGACAAAAAAAAAAGAAAGCTTGCCTAAAATATAAGTCAGGTAAAACGAATGAATCATATAAAGAATATAAAAGAATAAGAACTGAAACTATTAAATTGGTAAGAAAAACAAAAACAGATTACTGGGAAAGATTCACAAAAGGACTAGAAGTGGATTTCTATGGACAACAGAAAAAAGTATGGCGCTTCATAAGACAACAAAGAAGCGAAGAAAGCAAAAAAACTGCAACTTCCTATTAATAAAATAATCACCATGAATAGAATACCAGATAAATGTACAAAAACAAGTGAACATGGCAAACAGAGCAGCAGGATGTGTCAACAACACAATCTGGAGAAACAAATACCTCACAACGGAAACGAAAACGGATATATAAATCAACAATAAGACCGATAATGACATACACAGCGGAAATACGAGCAGCTACGGCGACACAAAGACACTGGAAACAACAGAAATCAAAGTCTTACGAAAAATAACAAACCAAACTCTAAGAGACAGAGTAAGAAGTGAGGAAATACGAGCGAGATGTGGTATAGAGAAAATAAATACGTGGACCAAAAGAAGAAAAGTGGAATGGAATCAAAACATCGAAAGAATGACAGAAAATAGAATAGTACGAATAGCAAGAGACAAATCGCTAAATGGAAAAAGATCATTGGGACGACCGAAGAAAAGATGGTCAGACAATGTCAATTGAGGCTAAAAACCGAAGTTAAACAGGCATTAAGCCTATTTATAAAGTAGGAAGAAGGAGAACAAAAATAGTTAATCTTTCTTTATCACATCGGTATTATTGCTTTAATCTTACTGCCCAAAACGTATTATTATTTGTGTTCGTCTTTTTGAATCAAAACTCAAACTTAACATAGCACAACAGTAACCTATATTCTTAGCAATGTTGCGAAAAAATAATCACTAATCAAGTTGTTTAGGTCTCCATAGCTAGACAGTTTATTTCCCAGGTATTTTATTTCCATTACTTGGTTAATACTGATGCCATCTATTTCTATTTTACATTTGGTTAGTTCTTTGGCTTATTATTTGGCTCCCCCGCTTATTATTTGTTTATGATAATACAATTCCCCAATGCAAAAGAGAACCAGCTAGATTTGGACTGAACATAAACATTCTCCTCCCTTTCTGAGGGCCAAATTTTTAAATAGAAGTCATACTCAAACATCTTTTTAAATTTAATCAGTATGACACGAATTAATAGAGGAATCAAAACATTACCTAGATTAGAAGGTAACCTTCCAATGACATCATCTTTTATTTTGTTTTCTTAAACTTTATCGTATATTTCGGTATCATTCTTTTTTATTATTTTATTATCACTTATTTTTAGATATATGAAAAATGCAAAGAAACAATCAAAAATATTGCACGATCAACCAATGAAACCAATGGACGAAGCAATTTTCTGGTGCGAATATGTGATAAGGCATCAAGGAGCTCCACATTTACGCTCAAAGGCTTTGGATCTCTATTGGTATCAGCTGTATTCCTTAGATATTTTTGTATTTGTTTTTGCATCTGTTTTTGGTATTTATGCTATTTTAAAATTATTTATCAAGTATATTGTAAAAAATAACATACATATTTATGAAAAGAAAAATAAATGAAAGTTTGTAAAGATATGAAAGTACTTCTTATTTGATATCGGTTATTGCAGCTATTTTGCAGCATGACATCAGTATGTTGCTAAATACATAAGTATATAATTCGATTAAAAAATAATTAAAAATAAACGAAAAGCAGTAAATAACAGTAAGAAATGAAGATCTTGGGGCAGACTAAATGAATAGTCTGGTGTAAACATCGTTACATGACATAGGATATCAGCCAATGAAGACAAAAAGCTAATAATATTTGCAGTGTCCTAATAAGGGTTCAAGGAATGAGGAGGAATGGATAATGTGAACGAAAAAGACTGATATATATTTTTTTTTATTGGGTTAATGCCTCGACAACTATGATCATTGGCATGGTACAGTCAGGTACCTAGTGTAGTGTGTGTGTGTGTGTGTGTGTGTGTGTGTGTGTGTGTGTGTGTGTGTGTGTGTGTGTGTGTGTGTGTGTAGAGTAATTGTCTTGATACTTTGCAAAGTCGACGTTATTGTCTTTGCTAAGAGACGCTAATTGTATATGAACGTCTGCGGTCCCTCTGGTGAGTACCGATCGCACAAGGATAGAAATTATTTTCATTTATTAATTTTTAATAAACGAAAATTTCCACCCAGATGAGATTCGAACTCACGACCTTTAGATTTAAAGGTAGGCGCTCTTACCACTGAGCCACAGAGGGGGTTAAGACTGATATATTATTTGACAGATATAGAATAATTTCAGAAATCCTCTTATAAATTCCATTCTCGTAAGAGATAAAGGTAAAAGAAATAATTGGTAATAAACTTGTTTTAAAATTTTTATTTTTAGTACAATTATTATGATACAAAATATGTACCAAACTGTATTTTAATGATTCATTCTTGGTCGAACATTTTACATACAAATTTTCTTATAAATATTTTTCTTATTTTTAATAATATCACTTAATCTAGCATTTTATCTGAAGTGTGTTCCATTCAGTAGCTACCAGGTTAATGACCATTTACGTAATGTTAATCTTTATATAAATCACCACGAAAAGAGGGTTAAAAGGATCAAACTAAAATTCCTAACATATCCATTGTTCCAGGATTTTTTTTGTAGTTTGGCAATAATGTCAACTTAGATATCTAACGTAGATAACGACGTGCATCGAGACTTTCACCAAACGTGGGACGGATACCAAAGGGATCAAGAATTATTTTTCTTTTTAATTACAAGTCAGCATACAGGTTGTCATTTCAGGCTGCACTGGATAGATATTAGTTTTATACAGTAGATTCCCGTTGATTGAAAATCCACATCATTTAAAGCTTTATTGAGTGTACCTACATACAATATTTGTGGAATCAACTACAGTATTACCACAATTCATGTTCTTGTGAATTAGACCAAACAAAAATTTAGGAAATGTAAAATTTTTATCGGGATCAGACCAGCTAAAGTCCGAAAAGATTCCCTAATGCCACTTGCTTGGATGGTTTTCCGTTCATACTTTTTTCTCAGTTCAAAGAAAAAGGCGTTTAGTGTAAGTAGTCGATTGCTCTTACGGTCATATCATTACTGACATAAATACATGGAATAACTTACTACCTAAGTGTTTCGTAGTTTCTTATAAATCTAAGGTGCATATTTTTTTACCGCTTTCAATTTTTGTTTTTGTTCGCTGGTTTCGTCTGATGTGACGAACAGGGTGAAACAGATGCCCATGGTGAGGCTCGTTACTTTTGCACTAGACAGTTTGTTGACTTCTTTTGGTGTAGTACTCGTCATCTGCATATCTCTCATGCCGAGTTTCCCATAGCAAGCTGAGGCTCCCCATACAATAACGCTTTCATCAGCAGCGACGATAATGGAGGTTTGTCTGGTGCCTATATACTTGATATTCCAACCAGCAATATCTTGGATAGACTTAGGATACATGTTAGCTTCTCCAGTTTTTGTTGGTACGAAGAGTTTAGAAAGTTGTTAAGTTAAGAAGACCAGAGGAGAGACAGAAGATACGGGATTCCAAATAAGAATGTAATGCCGCCGGAGATGACGAGATATAAGGTTATTATGGTAAAGCAGTAGGACATGATACAATGCAGTAACGTTTTAACCTTTAACACATTGCCTGCCGTAGAGGATTTTGTAATATTTTCCATTCACACCATAGTCACTGAGACGGTACCACAGTTACATTAAAATTCTCGGTCAAATAGACCTCGCTGACACAGTTCTTAGACAAGAAGTATGGAGATGTATGACAGAAAAATGGGTTCCTGAGAAGTAAGTTAGGCTCGTAAAAGATATTTATGAGTAAGCTTATACCAAACTAAGGACTATTGTTAATTTAACCGAAAGTTTTCCAGTGACGATTAGTTTTCATCAAGGTTCTTCACTAAGTCATGACCTGCTTAATTTCCTTATCCTCGAAAGCAAAAAATGTTGAAAAAGACAGTTGGAAAAGAGCTATTGAAGAGAAAGTTTATATATTTTGTGATTTAAAAATCGAGGGAGGGTTAAAAGGAACGATATACAAAAATGTTGTGAGACCTGCATTGGAGAAATTCTATGATTGGTAATAGATAAGTCTAAAAAATCTAGTAAATACCAAACGGAACAAGTAAAAATTTGAGTTTAGTTTTTAGCTAACGATTTTTATGGAAAAACACACTTATATTACTATTGTTAATATATTTTTAAAACAAGATTGTTAACAATAACAATAATTTAAAAGGATTATAATTTTATATTTTGAGTATTGTCTGCTTTAGGTCTGCTCTTCTGTCGTGGCATACTTGTAATTTAACTTGGTAACATCCTTTAATTATCACTAAAGCGATATACTGGCTTTAAACATAAGTGTGAATTTCCAAAAATTTTAAATATACATAAAACATTTACAACACTTTACGCGTTATTCAGCTCTCAGAAGTTTAAAGCATTTTATTGCCAATTTTATATATTAAATTCAACAAAATTTAGAACAATTAATACTCAAAATATTTAAAAAAATACATACAAATCTCTCCAGGATGAAAAATGATTGCAAAGAGATCTTAATTGTTTTATTATTATTTATTACATTCAATTTTTTTATCTGGGTTGAAATATTTTGCTTCTTTTACTACTTTTGTCTTTGGCTCGAATATTTTCTTTCGTTTTTCATTGTGCGCTTTTTGGATACATGTAAAATGTTTAAAAAATGAAATATATGAAACAAGAAGAAAAAAAACATAAATCAAAACGATAAAACAGTTATGAAACTGGAAATAATACAAGGGTAGATAAAGAAAGCAAGAAGAGACTAAAGAAGATAAAAATACATGTAGTACATTTGAAAATGATTGAGAGCACAAATTTTATAGCAAGAATAGCAAATATAGCAAATATAGCAGAAAAAATGTAATAATTTATACCTTCTTATCTGAATTTGCGCTCTTTAACAACACTCTTACAATACAATACAAATTATAAAATGCAAATACTCAATGATCATCATCATCATCACATAGCGCTACAACCCTGAGTGGTTCTTGGCTGATTGTACAACTTTTTTCCAATTTGTTCGGTTTTCCATCAACCTAGGGTCAAATTTAATGTTCATTTTCCGGATATCTGCTTGGATATTATCTCTCCATTGCATTCTGGGACGTTCGAGTGGTCTTTTGCCTGTGGGAATCTCCTCCCAGACCATTTTTACAAGTCTCTCGTTATGCATTCTGTGCACGTGGCCTGCCCATCTTAGTCCCTATGATTTAATTTCTTGGACAATATTGGCGTCATTGTAGAGTGCTTTTAATTCGATTTTGGTTCTGATCTTATACTGGTTTGTGGTGATGTCATGATGAGGTCCGAAAATTTTTTTAAGTATTTTTCGTTCAAAGCGTCTGAGCTTTTCTTCGTTTGCTTTGGTCATGGTCTACGCTTCACATTCGTATGTTATTACAGGTCTGACGATAGATTTATAGATTTTGATCTTTGAACTTCTTGTAAGATTTTTTGATTTTATGAGCTTATCCAGTGCAAATAGACAGCGGTTTGCAGATTGGATTCTGTCTTTTATTTCTTCAGTAACCTCGTTGCCAGCTGTGATTACGGCCCCAGATACTTAAAACGTTGTACTCTTTCGAAATTGAAGGTGTTGACCGTCTCATTTTGTCCTATTCTGACTCTTCGTGTCGTTCTATTTATACACATATATTTCGTCTTCACTTCATTAATCTTCAGCCACACTTCACTTGTTGCTCCTTCCACCTTGTTAAAGATGTCTTTCGTGGATAGGATGGAGTCTCCAACGAGATCTATGTCATATACGAGTAACACCTTGGGACCTTGAACCGATAGTAATTCTTTTTTATTCCGCATCACCCTGTTTGAGTTCTCTGTTGACTTCAAAGCTGCCAGACAGTTTATTATTTACAGATACTTTAGATATTCTACGAATGAGTTTATTTGGTATTGAGAACTCCACCATGGCATTCCATACGTGGCTTATTTCGACGCTATCATATGCCTGTCGAAAGTCTATGAAAAGATTGTGTATGGGTCTATTATATTCCCATCCCTTTTCCAGAAGTTGTCTTAGCGTGAATAGTTCATTTATTCCGTGAAAACCGGCTTGATATTCGCCTAGGACATTTTCAACAGAAGGGGTTAGTCTACTAAGATTGATGTTTGAGAGGATTTTATATGCCGTGTTTAAGAGTGAAATTCCTCTATAATTGTGGATGGGCACTATGATGTTTTCCTTCTGTCTTGCTGGTACCTTTCTTTAACCATATGTGCGTTATTAGCTGGTGGATATGGCGATGTAGTGCGTCTCCCCCATATTTCAGAAGTGCTGCTTCTCGTCCGTACCCGGCGCTTTGTGATTTTTCAGCTTATTTAAGGCCTTCTGGGTTTCTTCAAAGAAGTGACGGGCATGTCCGCTGTGATATAGATCTCTTCTTTGTGCTGTTCTTCCTGTATGATGTTTAAATGGTCCCTAAAATACTCTTTTCATTCTTCAGATACTTCTTCACCGTCGATTATCTTACGGCCTTGATTGTCTCTCAGTGTATGGATGGAATTGGTCCTATGTCCTTTTTTCTCATAGAAAATTGCTTTATGAAATTCTCTGGAGTCTGGTTTGGGCCAGCCTCTCTCTATAGCTTTATATTTTCGTTGTTCATAGTTTCTTTTCTTTGTGCGGTATCTTTCTTGTTTCTTTTGGACAGCCATGATATTCCTTTTTGTCTTTTTTCCAGCTGTTTTCGACATTTCTCGTCATACCATGTTTTTGCCCTCTTCTGTCTACTTCTTCCAAAGATCTTATCCGCTGTCTTGGTTATTATTTCGGCAGTCGTTTCCCATAGCTGTTCTATATCATTGTATTCTGTTTCAGAGTTCAAGGTTTGTTTAAGTTCTTCTCTATAGTTTGTTGTTTCTCTGTATTGTGCATTTCGTCCATGTTCCATTGTGGATTTATTGTTGCTTTATTGTATTTGTGACTAGATATTCTGGATTTGACTTTTACTCTGACCAAGTAATGATCTGTATCTCCGTCTATTCCTCTCAGGCTTCTTACGTCTATAGTCTTGTTCCCTATAGACTATAAGTTGATATGTTCAAAAATTTCAGATTAAGCCCGAACATTCTCAGAACAATGCTGAATATTTAAGTTTAGAAAATCTCCGTCACTTTTATCTCACATGTAATAAAATTTGTACTATCAATCATTTTAAAATGTACTAAAATAATTACTTAGGCACACTACCAAAAAACTAATAAAAAAAGATATATGGTCATCGAAAATTGTGATAAATATTCAGAATCTAATGAAAATAGGCTAATGCCGGGAGCAAGAAACATCGATACTTTCAATAAGTTTAATCCCAAACTTGCCAGAATTCTGATAATGTTTCTTGCTGATAACTTGGACAAAATATTAAAAAATATACAGTAATTTTTAATGGTCTTAAAATTAGTATTGATTTTTAAAGATGTACTTACCGTCTACAAGAGCTACACTTGGTCCACTCAACATGATATTTTGTATATTTTCAACTTTATTGAGAAAAAGATTAATAAAGATTTTCTTGAGAATTATACCCGCACATAGTTTGTATAATGTTAAGATAAGAGCAAATCTTGAAATATTTTTTACATTTCTGAACAAAAATTTCGGATAATTAGATTTGAAATATTCATGTAACATAACAAACTTTTGTTTTATTTTGATTTTCTACAAATTTTTTGTAATTAATTTCAAGCACTCTCTCCTACGATTTAAACAATTACTGGTGTTACTTTGAGATACCATTATCATTGATTTGTTGCAAATTTTTACGCAAATTCACGTTAAAGGGTCAAAAGTTTATAAAAAATATTCGACATTAGTTTTAAGAGACAATATAATTTATGTCTTTTTTTTTTAATTTTATCAGCATTACGTATTCTTTATATTTCTTATTCTCTTAAATTGAACCCTGGACCCTCACTGAAACGATGGAGAAAAAACTTAAAGCCTTCGAGATGTGGCTATATAGAAGAATCCTTAGGATATCATGGACGTACAAGATAGCCCACGAAACTGTACTAAGAAGAATGGAGAAGAAAGAGAAGTGATGTATATGATTAAAAGAAGAAAGTCAGAATATTTCGGACAGATAATGAGAAACGGCACTAAATACAGATTACTGAAAATAATTAACTAACGCAAAATTACATGAAAATACTTCTCTATCTTGTGCATTTGAAACGAAGTGTTTGTTTATGTGTTTATGTTTGCATGTATGTGTGTGCGTCGCAGATCACTGATCCATCTTGTTAGAAGACGTCCTCTATTTCTAAAGCCATCTGTTCTAGATCGTCACTCGATAATTCTTTTAATCCACCTGGTGTCGTTCATTTTTCTGACGTATCATATTTAATTTCACTTTAATGAAGTTATTTTTCCACAGCATCTGGTACTCCGGTTTCTCCTTTGAGTTCCGAATTCCTGGAATTGGATCTTATATAGATCGTTCCATTGCATATTGTGTAATTCGTATCTTATGGACTGTTGTTGCTGTCAATGCAGGGCTTTCATAGCGTATGTGAGAACAAACAGCACTGTGGATCAACCCAAGACAGGATATGAAGCAATACATGAAAGACTGGGCTTTGGAACTAAAAATGAAGCTTGAAATTGAGCTTGAGAAGAAAAACAATAAAATAATGACAGATAGACAGACAATCAGACAACTGAAATACAAAGGATAGGTCTCACATGGGCTGACTTTGGTAGATTGAATAATATTTTCAAGTCTATTATCAATGTTTGTTTAAAAAGAAAGGTTTTTAACCAGTGCGTTTTATCGATTCTTACATATGGTGCAGAAACACTTACTCTGACAAAAAAACAATAGAAAAAATAAGAGTTACACAACGCGCTACGAAAATATCAATATTAGGGAGGCCTACGTTCAGCAGTGAACAAATATAGGCTAATTGATGATTGACGATGATGATGAATGATAAATATAGATCATTCAATGCGTTTGAGGACTCGAACATGTCGGAAAAAGTACTGTGATGAAATTAATAGATATCTAGCTAATTTTTTCAGGATACTTTCATTAACAGCGGCAAAAACAACTTGTTTATATTGTCTGAAGGAATTTGTGTTCCGATTTTGCTGTTTGACGAGAGAAATGTTAAGAGAAAATTAGAGGAAAACACCGAGAACCAAAAAAAGTCACAGAGGAAAATCATGTGAGATTCGAATTACATCAGACATCAGATAATTCTCGGGAGTTGGCTGTATAATGTAAACATAGCAAGAAAATAAAGAAAAAAATTAACGGGTAGTAGCCTAGAGAAGAGTAATAATTGTTTGAATAATTATTATATATTCCAAATTGAATAAGGAACAAATAACTCGACCTAGTATAAGTGTATTACACGAGTTCAATATCAGGTCGCCACAATTGTTTAAAAAAAAATCACGTTTAAAACAGAGACCTTTGTTGAAAAATAACACCGCTGCCTGACCCGGTTGAAGTATGAGGACTGAGTCAGCAAAAGCTCGACCTCGGTTATTGAGAATACGGTTTCATAAAAAACGAACGAAGTGGGCCAGGGCAGTCAGTAAGCGCTAGGCACCAGTAGTATTCGGGCGACCGGAACCAGAGAGTGCTCGGCGGCAGTAGTTGCCCGGCACCCGTGAGTGCTCGTAGGCGGTAGCGTCCAGTAAACGCTAGAGTCAGTAGAGCGGAACAGCCGAGAGTTCTTCACGCCAGAAGCACGGGCTATCGGGCATTACGCAGCCCAGTGAGCGCGCTATTGTAATTCGACGGGGTCAAAAATTCGTGATAGCGTGCGGTACCTCAACAAACTGATCCTGAATTCCAGTAGGACTGAAGGGCGTATTTATTAGCTAGGGGCTAAATACACGAAGGTAACCTAAAAGACCTAAATCTATATACTAACCCAAGGAATATATAAAAACGTAGATTGTCCACCCTTTAATTTGTTGCTGAGGTCTCTTCTCGTCTCCCTTCGCGCCTGAACGAATCATTATTGGTTAGATACAGTATATTTGATACATTGTAGACTCGAAATTTGGTTTTATTGTTCATTCCCGGCCGTTACAGGCAGAGAAGCCCATAGACTCTACTCTTTACAGGACCTGAGACATAGAAGTCCTTAACCCCCTTTTTTCAGATCTCCCTACCCTCCTGAACCCGCGAAACCAGCCCGTTCAGACTAGTGGGACCAGTAAGCCTTGCCTCCGCTCGCAGGGATAAGTATCCCCTAAGAATTGTAGACGCATCCAAGGATTTGAGACAGGCGTCTTTTTACAATGAGGACAGCCGCCAATTATTAGAGTGGTGACAGCGGTCTTGCCTCGGCTAGTATTACAGCTGTTATAGGTTCAAAACTCCCAACATCAAGTAAAAAACGCAGTATTATTCTTGTCCAGAATATCATTTCCGGTATTTGAAGTGAGTGGGCAAACTATCATACAAAAATTCAGATGTAGAAATTTTAGTTCAAGTAGGTGCTTGTGGTTCCCGATTAGTGATCCAATTACATCGGCCTATTGCCGTATAATTTAAAACGTCTATGTTTTCTTCAATGTTAACCCAACCACTGTTTGGTTTTGCAGTTAGTTACGCAAGTACTCCAAAAGTAAATAATCTAAACCACATTCTTGCATTCAATGGGCAAAATTTTACAGTTTTTCTTAACTAAATGGGATTACTTGCTTTTTAGGTTCACTGAAGGTGCACTCATTAGTGAGAGGACGATCTGAAGTTTATTATATTACATTTGGAGTTATAATTTAATTATTTAATTAAATATATCATTTACAACAGATTTTTTTTACTTGGATGTTCGAGTTTTCTAATTAATTAATAAATTATTCGAGATATTTAAAATAAATAAAAACATAAAATAAACCAATGACAGTTTACTATACGGAAACAAATATCCCGTTGCTCTATTAGGTGTAAAACAAATATACCCTACAAATCCAATACTTCGGGCTATAAAAAATGAGATAAATATAATTTAATCAAATCGAAAAGAAGTAGCATTTATCTGGGTATTGTCGCATGTAAAAATCGCTGGAAATGAGAACGTGAACAGCCTAGCAAACACAAGTCGAATAAACTCACAATACACAATCAAATCAAGAAATTACCCATACTTTGATCTCAAAAACATAATTAAAGACCACTGTATGAATATATGACAAGACTACTGGAAAGATTCAGAAAGCAAACTATATGTGAAGATCATCTTGAATAATCCATCCAATAGAAGGGACCAAGTCATAATTAACCGACTAAGAATTGGACACACTGCACTGACCCATAAATTCTTAATCAACCAAGAATCTTCTCCAACCTGCAGAAACTGTTCTCTCCCATTGACGGTAAAGCATATTCTCGACTGCCAGTACCACGAAGAAACAAGAAGAAAATATGGAATCTCAGATGATATCAAAACCACTCTAACCACCAACACTGACCAAGTAATAAATTATTTAAAAGATTTACGTTTATATACATCTATTTAATGTAAATAAAATGAATAATTGTTTACATTACTCAACTAATAACCCTGCGTGGTTGATATGTTGATATGCGTGGGTGAATTATATGTTAAAATAAAAAAATATCCCGTAAAACATTATATCATTGTCAGAGTTAAAGTTATAATACATGAAATATCCTGATTTTTGTTCAGCAATGTATTTCGATTTTGATTAAATGTAGCTTCATCTTTAACAACAATTATTTATAACCGTCAACAACAAGCTATATACACGGAGCTAAATAACTTTCAATCAAAAGTAGAAAATGTTACTGTAAATTACAGACGTCGCCACTTTTCTTCCACCATTTAGAATTATTATTAGAAGCTCCGGAGTTGTCTCCTCGCCTGGAAGTCTTGTTTCTCATGATCATAAGATCAGTCCTTATACTGGGTCTTCTCGCATTTGGCGTAACTACCCCTAACGCATCGCTAAGTTTCCTTTTTACAGATAAATGATATTTTTTACTCTGATGAACTGGCGTAGGTGGCGGTAATGGACTGGGGGATCCAAAGCTAGCGCTTACCCGTTTGTGGTGATTGGGCGCCATCTCCAACGGTAAGTGGGCTACTAAAAACAATTGGTAAAACACTTCTTCCACTCTAAAGTTTTTCTTGGCCGATGCTTCTACGAATGTACACGACGCGTCTTGACTATCACAATATGCTTGAGCTTCTTCAACGGTTACAGTCCTAAAAATTTAAAACATTGTTAATTACTTCATTAAAATATTGTTAAATGTGCTTTTTGTGAAAAATTTGCCATGCTTAGTTTCTTAATATTGAGCCATATGCTTTGAAAAATAGTCGATAACTACACATATTAACCTATAAATCAACAGCACCCAAAGGAATATCCATAAATTATGTAATAAAAAATTTGGACTTTAAATACCGTTCCTCCTCTTCGTCGTAAAGTAAAAAGTAAAGTTTACTTTAAGCGTTCGGAAGCAAGAGAAAAATTCGGATAACCACAGAAGCACATATAGCTCCCGCGGAGTAGATAGTTGTACTAATATAATATAAAAACAATAGAGGATTTCTCATAAACGAATAATTTAATATAGCAATTTTAGAATATAAGGTTTAAGTCTTTTGTTTACAAAGAAATCGGACAGAGAATTGGAAAGTTTTGTGGTCAGAGATAAGTATACAATAACCGAAGTAGTATTAGCTATATTGTCTCTGAAAACAAAGAAAAGATCTTATTTATGTTAAATTTGGAAATGTCAAAGTTATATAATATCATATTAGAATTGAGCTTGTGTTTGACAAGTCACAGAATTTGATTGGTCGAAAAAAATGGCGTGGTATGTAGTATGTGTGTGTCTGATTGGTGAAAAGAAGAAGGAGAGATTAAAGTGGAGGAAGATGTTTTGTCCATGAAAACGCAGATTACTGTGATTTGATAGTCGAAAAAAGCAAGTTTTTTTTGTTCCACATTTTGCAGTGAAAGTTAGCAGAGTTTTTGTCAAATAATACTTGTGAAAGCTGTTTTGAGTCTGTGGAACGAGTCCCAAGGATTGGTAGCAGGGCGAAAGTACATCCTGTAATAAACAAATAGGTGTATAGTATATTTGGTACCAGTCGACTAAGCAAAAGTTCTTTCGACTAGAAAGAAATTAGGTTCCTGTGAGATAGGAGTTTGGTCCAGGAGCTTACGGAGAGACTGTTTCGGCGATAAAGTGTGCTAGAGACGTTGACAAGCGGAGAAGATAGCATAAACCTGTAAAGCAACTGAGAGTATGAGCAAAAAGCAATGTAGATCAAAGTCATAAGAAGACAAGGAGCCAATAGAGAATTCTTGAAAATAAAATATTAGTTTTTCATATAACCACTAAAAAGTTACAACCACGATCATAACTAGATCATAAGTAATTTGGTTTTTTAATATTTCATTCAGTAGTTTCACTTCAGAACAAATACAATCTTTTAAATCAAATATAAAAAAATTATAAGAATATTTTTTAAAGAGAAATTATCTTGTTTTGATTTAATTTAAAAACGAAAATACAGAGGAGAGATCTTTTATTTGAATGCATGTCCAATCAATTATTGATAATGTGTATGGAAATTTTACTTAATTTGTAATTTTAATTATACTACGGATTAGATCATATAATATATGATTTTGATTATTTATAAAACTGTCTGACTTTCTTTTGATTGTTTTTTAATAAATTATTTAAAAGTTTAGTATCACAAAATCAAGGGTAGCGAGAGACACTTTTCTACGATCCTGGAGGAAAATAGGTCTACTTCGGGTAAGCCCCTGTCCACACAAGCCATGCTTTGCTCTCAATTCCTTACCAAGAGAAATCATGTCCCATTCCTTTATCCTTTCAAATCTAGTTTCCTACTTCCTATCCATCCCTGGTGAAGGTCAGCATCGATTATCAGTACCAGTTCAAGGCGTAGAGGAAATGATATTGGACTGGCTTAAAACTGGATTACCACAAGCATGACTAAAGCAGTTTAAATGGTTGTGGTACTGCGGTGGGGAAGGCAACGGGAAAACCACCCTATTATATTTTCCACAAATCTAAATGGCAGACGAAAAAAAGATAATGGCCCTCAGTCTGGGGCACCCCTTAAATGGGGGAGAGGGTGCGAAGAATTCCAACGTCAACTCTCCAAGAAAGTGGACAGAGAATACAAATACACGACCGCATTGCCACCTGGAACGTACACAACTTATTGATGTCCTGTAAACTGGCAAGCACTGAAGACGAGATTGTAAGACTGAAAACAGACATCTTGGGGATGAGTGAAGTAAGATGGCTCAGGAGTAAAAAAACCAAACATGGATACATATATTATTCAGGTGAAACCGACCCAGAACATCAATATGGAACTGCTATATTAGTGTCAAACAAAATTGCTCAATCAGTCACAGACGTCATTCATCTAAATGATAGAGTAGAAATGTTGTAATTAAAAACAACTCACACAAAATTAAATATTATTCAGGTCTATGCTCCAACAAATGACAAGTAAGACGAAGAAATCGAAAAATTTTATGACAACATAGATGAAGTAATGTGACTGACAAAAAGAGGTGAGATAACGATGATCGTGGGTGACTTTAACGCTAAAATTGGTCGTAGTAGCCAATACCTTCTTCAAACAACATCCTAGAAGGCTATACACATAAAAATCACCTGCAGACAGAAAAGATAGAATTGCTAGAAATAAAATTGACTTTTGAAATAAAAAGAACCCTGAACAGAAAAAGAAATCAGTATCAAGCTTGAGGAAGAAATAAAAACGATCGATTACTTGGTACAGACAGACATTAAAGTAATATGGACTGCTCTAAAAACAAAAATAACAAAGATACAAGAAGAAGACATGGGGTTCATAAAACACAAAAAAAAACAAGAATGGATAAAGCAAGGAATCATGAACGTCATGGACGTAAGACTAAAACATAAAACAAGCCCAATAGAATACAAGCAAATCAATAAAATCATTAGAAAAAAGTGTAGGGAGGCGAAAGAAAACTGGATTTTAACAAAATAACTAGAAATTGTACAACTTCAGGAAAAATACGACACCTTTAATATTCATAAAAAAGTAAAAGAAATGACAGGTAGACACAAAAAGAGACAAGGAACAATATTAAAAAATGATAATAACGAAATAATTATGGGTACAAAAGACAAACTACAGAGATAGAAAGAATACATATAAACTCTTTTTGACGACGATAGACCTTGTTCTCCACCATCCACAGATAATCGAATAAATGAAAAAAGAAGAAAAAAAAGAAAAAAAGAAGTAATTCGTGCAGTAAAATCTTAGAAAGATAGAAAAGCCTGAAAAGGGTCCGGACAATATCAATGTCGAAATACTAAAACTAATTGCAGATAACAAAAGTAAAAGCCTAGACTTTACAGCACTATTCAATAAGATATATGACACAGGTAAAATACCAACAGACTGGATAAAATCAACATTCATAGCATTACCAAAAAGATAGAATTCCTTACAATGCCATGAATATCAGACCTTGATGTCTGAGGTCCTTAAAAGTTTTCTCAGAATTATCACGAATTTACAAGAAGTGCGAGTTCCAGATGAGTGACACTCAATTCGGATTTCGAAACGGATTGGGAACACGAGAGGCTCTGTTTGCTTTAAATGTGTTAAAGCGACGATGCAGAGACATCAATGTAGATGTATACGCATGTTTTATTGACCATGGAAAAGCATTTGACTGCGTTAACCATCAAAAGATGATAGAAATTCTGAGAACAACTGGAGTTGAGGGTTGCGTCTTATCACCGCCACTGTTTAATTTGTATTTGTAGTCTATATTCAGAGAAGCATTAGATGAGATCCAAGGCGGAATTAAGATTAACGGAATCAGCATAGACAACATCAGATATACTAATGATACCGTTTTAATAGCAAGCAACGCACAAGAACTACAAAATATAGTAAATGCGGTAGTTCACGACGGTGAAATGTTCAGTTTACATCCAAACGTTTCCAAAACTAAAACTTCAGTATTTTCAAGAATTGAACAAGCAAGGAAAACGTTCATGAGCATGAAAACATTTTTTATAAGATCAGACCTTAGTCTGCAGTTTAGAATCCGAATGATTAGATGTTACGTTTTTTCTGTCTTACTGTATGGCTGTGAGAGTTGGACAATGGACAAAATAGAAAAAAGAATAGATTCCTTGGAGTTGTATATATACAGACGAATGTTGAGAATTCAATGAGTACAAAGAGTTACTAATGTTGAGGTATTTCGTCGCACGTGTAAACAAAAAGAATTACTAAGAATAATCAAAGAGAGAAAAATGCCATACCTGGGTCATGTGTTGGGAGGCGAAAGATATGAATTACTTCAAGTTATACTGTAAGGAAAAGTACAGGAGGAGGACGCCAGAACTCGTGACTGAAAGACCTGAGAAGATGCTTCGACCGCTCATCCGCAGAAATCTTTCGAGCAGCAGTTTCCAAAACTACAATTGCCATTTGGATCGAAAGGAGACGGCGCCATTAGAAGAAGAAGATCACAAAATTAATTGGTTTAATTTATGTTTATGTTTAATTTATTTAACTGCTTAAAGAATACTTTAAAGCCACTTATTAAACCTAACGATAAAAGGAGCTGTGACATGAAATTTTAATTATAATAAATTTATTTGCTTCTGCAAAATTAAGACTAAGGCATATTAAATCAATTAAACATATAAAAGGTCCAAATTTGCAAATTATATTTTTGGGGTTAACAAATGACTCTGATGCTTAACTATTCTTAAACTCAAAAATTCATTTTCTTTTATTTAAACACTGTCTAAGAATATTCCTAACTTACGAGGAGCAGTTTATTCACCGCGATTGCACTGCCTTAAATACAAATATCGAGGCAAAAATAGAAGCAAAAGGAAGGCAGGGATTTCTACACAATAGTCACGTTCCCTCATAAATATTTCCCTTCCTATTTTGTCGACATTTCACATAGTAAAAATCAGAACGACATTTCAGATGACTTTGATGTTCTTTTGTTCGACTGCTCATGGCTAATAACTTGCTCCTTTTCGTTGTCGTACAAGCTGATTTAAGTTCAGCAAAACATTCTTGGGTTGAAAACAGTGAATAGAGACTTTATTTGTCGTCTGATAATGGAAGGAGACAATTATTGTTAATTAAAATAATTGTAAGGTCTGTTTTTGATC